TGCCCGACCCCAGCGCTGACTCCAAGCGCTCCTCCAGAGCCTCCTCCCCTACCAAAACATCACCCCCCACTCCTGAAGCTTCCGCCACTAACAGTCCTTGTACCTCTAAACCTGGTAATCAGGAGTAGGGGTGGCGGGAGGGGCAGAAGTGGGTCAGGAGTCAGGGTGGGGGAACGTTAGGCTTCCTCACTCTGCCTTCTTCCTGCAGCAACTCCAGCTCCAAGTGAGAAAGCAGATGGCATCAGGACGCCTCTGGAGAAAGATGAAGCTGAAAACCAAGAGGAGAAGCCAGAGAAAAATAGCAAAATTGGGGAGAAGATGGAGACAGAGGTGTGTGGCTACCTGACTTCTCCTGAGAGGAGGAAGTGAAAGGATTTTGGTCAGGTGCCTGGAGCCCTCGTGCTTATCCTGACCCCATTTTCTTCCAGGCGGAGGCCCCCAGCCCAGTCCCATCACTTGGGGAACGGCTGGAGCCAAGGAAGATTCCTCTAGAGGATGAGGTTCCAGGGGTACCTGGAGAGATGGAGCCTGAATCTGGGTACCGAGGGGACAGAGAGAAGTCAGGTGGGTGCATGGCCTTAAGGTTGATGGGGGGATTAGAATGTGGGGGTTCCCTCTTCTGGGGTCAGGGTGAGGGTGACATCCTCCCTTCCTATCCCCTCCCCCCTCCCACAGCCACAGAGTCGACGCCAAGAGAAAGGGGGGAGGAGAAGCCATTGGATGGACAGGAACGCAGGGAGAGGCCGGAGGGGGAGACAGGGGATTTGGGCAAGAGAGGTAATGGGTGGATGGCCTGGACACCTGGGTGCCTGAGGGGTAAGGGGGGTGGAGTCTGGGGGCCTAGATGCTGGGGTCCTGGCTGGGCAGCAGTTCAGAAGGCCAGTTCAGAGCAGGTAGTAGTCTCGGGACCCGGGAGGACGCTGACCTGAGGTGTGAGCTCTGCCCCGTCTGTCCCTGCAGAAGATGTAAAAGGTGACCGGGAGCTTCGACCTGGGCCTCCTCGAGAGGAGCCACGGTCCAACGGGCGACGGGAGGAGAAGGCAGAGAAGCCCCGGTTCATGTTCAACATCGCAGATGGTGGCTTCACAGGTGAGGGCGTTCTCACCGCGGTCTGCTCCTCTCTGGGACTTGCTCATCCTCACGGGACTCCCAATCTCCCCGAGGCTTCCTGCTCCCTTTAATTCCAAGTAACTTCTGATAAAATGGTGCGTGCTGACATGGACCTTCGCAGTCAGTCTTCCTTAGCTGTCCTCCCTCTCCAGAGCTATCTCTGACCCTGTTTATTCCTAGTCCTAATTGTTTTATTCCAAACCCCTAACCTAACCTTGACTCATTCCTTTCTTTTTTTGGGAGTGATTACTGCTACAGGGCATGTGCGCTTGCCAGAAGACAGAGAGAGGCAGCCAGAAATCACCCCCCAGAGGGGGTGAACACAACCCAATCCCTTCTCCATTCTCCTCCCAGGATCTTGGACTTGCATGCACACGTGCCCAGCATGATTTTGAAGCCACTTGGTCCAGGACTCACATTGTGGTCAGCCATGTGGGAGTCTAGCAACGTAGCCACTATGCCATCTGCTGGTCCCTGCTTTACCCATTCGCGTTTTTTTTTTTTTTTTTTTTAAAGAATTATTTTATTTACCCTTATTTAGTTTATTTATTTATTTTAATTTGACCAGGGAGGGACAGAGTGAGAGAGAGTAAGAGAGAAAGGGAAAGTGAGAAAGCAAGCCACCAAGTCTGGGACTTGAACGGTGGTTAGCCATGGAGTTCAGCGCCCTTGAACACCACGCCACCTGCTGGCCCCTTTATTCGTTTTGTTTTGTTTTTGAGAGGTTTTCGCTATAGGGCGTGTGCGCTCGCCAGACAGACAGAGAGAGACATAGAGACAGAAAGC